TACAGCGCAGCAAATATGATTATATGTGAGTTGAGACTATTGCAAGTAGACATTGTATGCGGCTGGATATCTGGACATATGCTGACACCTGGTTAAAAATGGCATCTCTAGTGCCACCTCTTTATTCCATTTTCCCTTTTCTTCCACTCCATCCTGCTCTTCTACAAAGCAGCCCTAGGTTCCCATCACTCACAACAGCAGATCAGCAAGGACCGGCTGCATCCTCAGTCAGGCAGCGCAAGCCCAGGAATCCTGTGTCCATCCCCTAGCCAGGATAGTTAACAGAGGCTTCCTACCAGCACAGCAGTGCCTGATTAACCTCACCTGCCCTCCCCGAAGTTATTAGCAGCCTTTTTGCATTTCTGAGAGAGCTTGGGTTGGGGACACACAGTAGGAGCCAGCTGGTCTAAACAGATACCTGACTGAAATGAAGTAGCACAATATCTTGAGCTGACAAGTACAAAAAGTCAGTAACGCAGGAGCAGTTCTTATGAAAGGGAGATCCTCCCCCGCACTGCTCCCTTCCAGCGCCTGGAAGGCAGCAGGTGACAGCGGCTGTGACTTTGCTCCTGCCACTGCCAAGCAAGAACGAGAGGAAGAGGGCAGTGCCTAAAATCCCCTTTTGGCATGTGCAGAGGGGAAGGGGCTGCCAGCACCAGGTTTCTACAGGCACTTCTCTGTTCAGAAGCAGATTTGACATGGACCTCTTTGCCAGCCACCCCGGGTGGGCTGTTCAATTACATCACAGAAGGGCTTTTTTTAAGACTACTAGCCAGTATTTTAAAATGTCCCAGCACATCTTTGTTTGGCTCACAGTTCAAGAGTTGCAGACAGTACACAGCAGAAGGTCACCATAGACACATTTTGCTACAAAGCCGGAAAGAAAAAAATCCCAATCAAAATATTTTAACACTTTAGCAGCTTTTTAGTTTTCCCATTCATAGCTGAAGCAGAGATATGTCCAGACTCACACTGGGAAAAAGTTTGATGTGAAGGTCACTGCCTCCCACCTCTAGACCCCAAGTGCTAAACCGTGACCTCTTGCCTCAGACACATGAATCTGAGACATACAACTGATACTTGCATACTCTGTTGAGTACTTTCTGAACAATTTCAGCCCATTTCTGTCTGGTTTATGAAAATATGAGCATGCTTTACAGCTGCTTTCATACCAGCCTGCACAGGGCAGGATGCCCATTGCAGTCAGGGACCGTTCCAACCTGAAGACACCCCTCCAGGCCCCCAGCCTGGCTGCAGCTCTGGCATTTCACCTAAGCAGGATTGCAAATCTGCATTTCCAAGCAGGTTCTGGGGTCAGCACTGACACACAGAGGAAGAGACTTTTTGCTTCTTCTGGCTGGGGTTCTGAAGCCAGACTTCAGAACCAGATTTTTAAACAGAGATAGGAAAATCCATCCTTACCCTGCCTTTCCTGCTTGGTCCTTTCCAAACACTTGGACTGACTTCTAGATTCCTGGTTTCAAACCTCCATTTCTCATTTGCTCTGCCTGAGTACACTGAAATGGAATCAGTGAGGAGCTTGTTTTATTAATACATTTGCACTTTAGAGGACCATTTAATCCACAGGCTACATGTTACAGCCTGACTCTTTCCTGCCTGTTAATCTGATTATCAAGGTAAAGACTAGGTAGTGCCCTACAGACCAGCAGGAGAGTCCTGAGTAGGCAGGTGAGACTAAGCCTCTCTTTTCCTGTGTGCAGCCCTTTGGCTTGTCAGGGATCCAGACTCAGGGCAGTGGTGGCCCTGGAAATGAGCAACACCCACAGATGCCACTTCTCCTGCAGCTGGTTCCTGTCTCCTCACTGGCTGCTCCTTTTCTGCCTGCCCTCTTGTAACACACGAAGGATTTGTGACTTTGCACTTGCACAGCTTTTCTGGAGTTTCAGCCTGCCCTTCCATGCTGTGTGCAGTGATAACGTGCTGTGAGCTGGCAGGATGTGCTCCTGTCTCCCGTGCTGAAAGACACAAAAATAGGACCTGGGTGCTGCCCATGGCCATGAACCTCTCGTGAGCTGGGCAAAGCTGCAAGAAAACTCACTGCCCTGGACAAGGAGCACACATAAAAGGGAGAACTGACACGAAGATGGTTTTGTTCTCAACCTGGGGACCAGTCCTTATCAGCAGAGAGGGTCAGCGAGACCTGGAGTTTTTTGTGATTTATTTTGTCTTTTTAGGTCCTATTTCCTACACTGATCTTGCTTTGACCGCCAAAAGCAAGGGGGTTTAGTCTTCCCCCAGTCTTTTCACTTCTATTAGACTAAATACTGGAGGTACAATTATGGGCAGGAGAAAAATGAGAACAGTGAGAGGATTTGGTTATTTTCTCTTAACAACAACATGCATTTATTAAGTAGGGGAGAGGTTTTTTAACTTTGGACATGGTCAGGGTGCCATTTGGAACGGATACAGGTGCAGATCCATCTCCCAGAAAGTGGTATGGGGGAAGGAGTAATAGCCAAGTGGTCTCAGGGGAAAACCTGTCCCAGGCCCAAGTCTCCTCCTTCCGTGCTGCTGAATCAGGCTGGAGCAGCCACAGCCCTGGCTCCCCTTCCTGAGCTCCCTTCTTTTGGGGGCTTAAGGATGAGTAGGGGAAAATCCCCCACTAAAAGATTTGCATTGGAAACCCTTGGCTGAGGAATGACTTTTAAAATAGAAAAGCTTTGCCTGAAAAGGGATGAACCATGTAGCATAATACTCAACAAATCGCCTGTTTAATGTCCTCTCTTTATAGCAGCTGTGCATTAATAACAAAAGCAGGGCAGCAGAAGCCATGTGCTTCTTTGTAAGATTAAAATAAATACTATTTCATACTAATACCAGCAACTTTTTTTGCCTAAGAGAAAGGAGCAAGTGGAAGGTCACAGCCTGAGAGACTTGGTTTCCTTCCCCTTTGTCTGCTACTGGATGAAGAAATATTTCTGCCATTTATGAAGGGAACAGATACACTGAATCACCCTCCCAGACAGTGGTTTGGTTTATAGTAGTTTGTGACTTGTCTCACACAGTCAGCATGACACCATTGTAAGACAGGAACAATTCCTCCAGAGCGACATCTTAGGGGAAATTAGGCTGGGGAGAACTTAATCTAACTTACTTTTTACTTTGCAAAGCATAACACAAGATCCCTACTGCCATAAAACATAAATTGAAACAATGTTGTTTCACACTAGACATAAGGAGAAACCTTTTCGTCATGAGGACTGTAAGAGCAGTGGAGCAGGTTGCCCAAAGGTGTGCAGTCTCCATTCTTGAATGATTTCAGACCCAACTGGGTAGAGCCCTGAGCAACCTGGTTTGACCTCAGGCTTTACCTGAGCAGGGGTTGGGCTCAACACCGCCTGAGCTCCTCTCCAGCCTGAGTTATTGTACAACCCTAGGAACATCTGGCATCTTTTCCACGGGAATATGAACGGACACAACGTTTTGTTCAGCACAGTACTCCACCTCTCGTTCCTGGCAGTCCTGATAACAGCTCTCCTCCTCCACACCCTGTACTGTGCCAGGCCTGGCACTAAAGCAGTGATGAGTTTTCCCTCCTCAAATTAGGACTTCAGGCATTTTATATTAAAAAAAAAATAAAAAATTTACATTTTAAAGCTGTCTGCCACAGACTATTTATCAGAAGAATGACTTGTTTCTGTTTTCCTAGGCATAGGTTTTAGCTGAGCGAGATACGTTGCCTGGCTGAGAGCTGAGTCACTGAGTAATCAACAGATTAATGTATTCCGTTTGAAAGCCATCAGCATTAGTTCTCGGCAAGCTCACAAGAACTCCATTATGGTATCATCTCCACGTTTGGGATGGAAATGTCTCCAGGATTTAGAGTTCCTACGGGAAAATCCCTAGATGCAAAGAAATCAAAGTACCTCTTTGTGATTGGGAGAAATAAGGTAACTCCTCATACAGTAACACCACAGCAGGATTTTGGCATCCTTTCCAGTGAATGCTTTTATTATCAACCCTCAGATAAGGAGTTTGAAGTATGTTGTACATCTGTCATTTGATAGCTACCTAAAAATAGTCATGACAAACTCACTGGCATATAGGACTTTACCTTTACCAGGTCTTTAATATGAAATTATTTTATTTCCAGTAAAATCAAGAAGTTTTACCTTCTCTGGAATTGCAGCATGCAAAAAGGGTGGTTTTGACTTCACTCTAGGGTTCTGAGTTCCTCTGTGTGGGCTTGGTCTGAGCCAGAAATGCAATAAGGCAAGGCAGAGGCTGGCAGGGGCACCTCACAGAGGAGCCACTGTTTAAAAATAGGGAGCTGATGGAAGTAATCACAGACTAGCAGCTGTAAAAGGACAGGCTGGCCTAGGTGTGTGGTACAAGAAGGCTGCCAAGCATCACATAGCTGTTCTGATAAGACAGATGCCAATGCTGCTGCCTAAGAGCCTGTCCATACCAACCTCCCTGAGGTAATGCATCCCCTTGTTTGCAACTGAAATTGCTGTTTGGGTACACTTAAATGGGGGATGTGTGAGTAGAAGCCAGTCAAGCCCAAATCAAGTTAATCCTAAAAGCTTTTCTACATTTGCAGGCTGGTGGAAGGGCTTTGAATGGCAGCAAGGTTTCCTGATTCATCAGTCCATGCAGCCTGTGTGTCCAGCACATGCACAGGAGACAGGACGCAGGACACATGTTCTCACTTTTCTCAGATCTATCAGTAGATCTGTCTAGGCTGTCCCTAGACAACAGATTATTTTTCTCCCCTGGCCTGAATAGTGCCAGGGCATGAGAGATTGTGGTTTCTGTGACACAGCGGTCCCCAGGGTTACACTCCCAGCGTAAGTGTACAAATGGCACATCACATGCAATTGTGTCTTTGTTGTACAAAATGCACGTGCAAGAGGCATACAACAGTGATGGAAATCTCCACCCTCTCCTTATCCCTCCAAGGTATTGAGATTGTGCAAATGCCTCCTGCTCATGGGACAGAGTCTCTGGGTACCCAAGCCGTGGTGATTTTAACTCACCCGTCGTTCCTTATCACCATACTCGATGCCCAAGGTATCCATGGCACGGACAATCGCTGCCAGTGACTGTATAGTGTTGCTGTAGACCACTGGCTTGTACTGCTTCACGTCTTCTCCAGAGAAGCCATCCTCATGGATGATCCTGAATAAAATGAAAAGAACAAAAAAACTCTTGAGAATGTCATTTCAGTGGGAGAGACATTTAAAAGACAGCTGTGCTCTTCTGAAGAGCACATCTGCTGGCTTGATTCGCTTAATTTAGTCAGCATTTCTTTTTAAACCTTTCTGGTTGTTCACCAATAGTGTGTCTGAGCCCAGTGCTGGAATTAGCATCCCTTTTGCTCTCTATCAAGAAGGTTTTGTGCACAGTTGGTGCATATGGTGCCTCCTTCCTAAATGAACTGCAAACGCTGAAGCCTGGAGCAACTTGTGTTCACATGCTCAGCAGTCACAGGGGCGAGGTCTCCTACATTACCTTCCCAGTCAAGGTCTATGGATAAATGACCATCAAATCAGATCAGATCTTAACCACTGAAACAAGTGATTGAAAACCTCTGGTTCTTGTCTAGTGTTTTTAGTAGTAGTAACTCCTGGGGTCCCTTACAAAAGGAACCAGAGTTAAAATCCCCCTGTACACATGGGGACTCAGGCACAGAGGGGGGAAGTGTCTTAGTTATGAAGCACTTAAAATACTTACCCTCCACACTTTCTCCCCCCTCCTTCTCTCTTCTTTAGAATAAGTGCTGAGATTTTTTTTTTTGCCTCAAGGCATGTTATGTTATCCCTTCCAAGCAAGATGGGAATGTGACCTGCAGTCCTACCAGCTCTGTGCACAGGATGCTCTGTGCATTGGTCTCTATTAAACACTGCAAAGGAGTTACTTGATGGAGCAAGTTATTGCAGTCTCTTGCTCAGGTCAGAAGACTGACCCCTGTAATTTATTCATCTCTAAGTAAATCCAGAACTAAGTCTGGATGTGTCTCTGAAAACTAGGATTTTCAGAACTAATTGTCTTTGACAATAATTCTTCCAAGTGAAGAAGACGTAAGTTATGCCTTAAATGTCAGAAGAGAGGATGATCTGCTTAGCTAAAATGAAATCTTTGTTTGCTCATCCTCAGATATCACTGGACAACAGAGGGTCCTTCAGTAAGAGATCTGCTCTCTGATAAAACCTAGCACCCTTCCTGTAACAAGATTTTTGATTCCTTTTTTTTCTAAATCAGATACACACCATCAAAGGTCCCAACAAGTGCTGGCATCCCCTGGGAGAGAGGGAACACTATCTCGCACTGTGAGCTTGCAATAGATACAGTGCTGGGATGGAGAATGGGGCTGGATGCCAGCTCAGTGTTATTAACAGATGAATTCATGAAGAACAAGGCTGGTAGAAACATGCTGACCAAGACAGAGATCTTCTTCCCCTGATGTGAAGCTCACAGAAAGATTTTCTAACACAAGTGACTGACTCTCTGCTGTCCCCAACACAACCTTACTCAACACTGAGCACTGAGCTCCCGGGAGGAGCTGCTCAACAACCCCTGAATCTTGGAAATACATGACTACAAGCAAAGACAGCTTCAGACAGACAATAATTCAAATCAATTAGTGACCAGGAAACTTTTAAGCTACTGATCTGAGGAACTGGGCAGAGTCCCCTGCTTGGGTACCCTCCAGCAAAGGCAAATGGTGCTGGTGTGCTGGAAACAGCACAGGGGGCTGCTGCTTCCCCTCACCTAAGCTGAGGAGAACAGAGGTGGATGAAAACCTTTCTGACTTAGTAAATCAAGACTTGCCAATTTGCCAAAAAATTTCAATAGCTCGTTTTGATTTTGATGGAGTTATGGGCAACAGCAGATCTTGTACTCTGTAGTTTTTATTTTCTGTGAATCCAGCGATTATGGTGAAGTTTGAAACAGTAGCATTTGAGTGATGGGGCAGGAGGCAGGGCAGCAGAGCCATGTATCAGCACTTGATCTCATGGATCATTTACTGTTACTCAGACAAGTGCTGAACTTCTGGGAAACGTGTTCTTTGCCAAAAAGAGCAGTCAACCCAAAGAGTTATGGGTGGCACAAGGCAAAAGGATCTGCATCAATTCTGTCTGAATTCAAGAGAGACTGTACAGCACCACTTCCTCCCAGCTCTGATCATGACAGCAAGAAGCACAGCAGAGCAGGGGTCCCACGGGAGGCAGGCAGGTTCGTGAAAGCATCACCAGGAATAATTCATTCTCTCTGGATGGTTGGCTCACGGCTGGATTTTGGGGCAAGCAAGATTAAATGCTGGGTTTTGGGCAACTAAGAGAAGGAAACATAAGAGGGGGGAAAAGAAAAGGGTGAGGACAGGCACAAGGGGCAGTGTAATAGCTTCAAGAGGATGCTGCTGAAATTTGTTTGGTCCAGCTGTTGGACCAGCTGGGGGAAATGGGAGTGATGCCCAAAGCTTGGACTGGGTTTGTTTCTGGCTTTTACTGACATTGACTCAGGAATTCAGAAGGCAAAAAGAAGGGCTGAACAGCTGTATGGGGAAAAAGGTGAGCTTTGGTTTCTGGTCTTCCTCAGAGTTTAAACTGTTTTTAGCTTTGTGCCATGAAGTTGGTGCCTGACATTTTCACTTCTACATACTCCAAGCCAGTAAGGTCCCTATTGACTAACAGGGCTCCTTGTGCTGAAGGGGCAGAATTAAGGGATCCCTCAGTGAACACACTGCGGCTGGGCAACAACTCTGCTGTCGTTCAAACACAAAAGTAGAACTGGTACTTTTAAAGGGGGCAGAGAGAGCATAGAGAAAAAAACCATTCCAATTGTTTCTGTGTGAAATCTCTCTTGAAGGCAGCCATGGTGACTGATAGCAGCACTGTGGATGCCAGAATGGAAGTTTTGCTGTAGGAAGTACTTATGAATTCATGCAGTGAGCACATTACCTAATATTTGAGTGAGCAAATCCCCCCTGACTCCTGTTCCAAAGCTTGCTAGGACACTGAACTGGCTTATTGTCTTACATGCTTTTCACAAACATTTCTCCATTTGCTTGCCTTGGCCATCTGATGGCTCCAATCCTGCGGCAGCTTTTTCCATAGTCTTTTGGAAATGTTCATGCTGCCACTCACCTGTCTGGGATACACCTTTCCTCTTGCCTGCTGTTGTGCTTTACTGTCTAGAGGATATTTAAAGCTCCAATACTACTCCTGGGAGCTAGCTTGCTATGGGACATGGCTTGAGCCAGCTCCTGGTGTCACAGGACATGAGAAGCAGTGGGGTTTGTGTACTGTAGTGAGCTGTGACCATTAAAAATATACAGGTGTAGGAACTAACAGAAGTGATCAACACACCAAGACTGTAAAGTCTTTACAGGTTTAGGCAGGGTGGGCTACTCCTTAATCAATCTGCAAATTATGGGAACAGAGGGTTTTCAGAACCAAAAATGTAAATTCTCTGTTTTATAAATGGCATACATTTTTCCCAGTGTCCGAATTACAAAGGAAACTGCTGCAGGCAGGTTCCTCTTTGCCTCACTAGAACTGTTCTCTCCAGGGCAAAGAAAGAAAAGGGATTTAAGAGGATCCCATGGGCCTGTGGAGGGGGGAGAAAGTGCTGTAATTTTAAAAAGTGATTCTGAGCAATTAAAAAGCCATTTCATTCACCAAGTGACTAATAAAACACTGTGCTCTGATTGGAATGGTAAGAGACAACTGAAACAACCTGATTGCCTAAGGTACCCATTAATGCCTGCTCCCCATCCCTCAGCTGCTAACTGCAAAACCCATATATTGGCATGTAGTATTGGTGTACTCATTTCAGAATGGCAGTAACAGGCAGGTATTTGCTAGAGAAAATGGTTCCATCACAGATCAGATCTTCTGCCATCCCCCAGCAAGTCGTTAATCCTGAAGAAATGCCCAGTGCCTCAGCAATTATTGCTTAATTACAAAATAAATGAAATACTTGGAAACAGGGGGTGCATTCTGCATAGCAGCTTGCTTTGGCTTCCATTCAACAAAGCACTTACATGCCTTCAGCCTTTCACTACACAACGAATGCATTAAGAAGGCAAAGCCAGAGATGATTTTGCCGCCTGTCCCTGCTGACACGCACGGCCCCTGCGGCTGTGGAACAGCGGCTCTGAACAAAGCCCATGACAGCTCCAGTGCAGTAGGGCTGGAGCTCAGCTGGGGGCTGATCCCACCAAGAAGCCAGTTTGCCCAGGTCACTCCTGAGGGAAATATTTGTCCATCATCCTGAAAACTTCCTGGAGCAGAGGCTACAGCCATCGTCACTCCCATACATCAGTTCCAGCTAAGCTATTCTGGTGCTTTCCTTCCAGCCCTTCCAACCTGAGCCAGGTTTAGTCAACACACTGACACTTTCCTACACCTTCTCCAAGCAGGTCCTCCTCCTCTTTTTTGAGGCAAAGTGCCCCAGACTAGACCCAGTCCTCACATCTCCAGTCTGCCAAGATAATTTTTAGCTGTAAAGTTTATCCTCTGATGTGCTGAAGCACCTCTTCCAGATCCATATCACTGCTAGGGGTAATCAGTGATATATTTCCATCCATTTTTCACTGATGAAAATGTAGAAGGAAATTAACAGACCCCAGTGGAGTCCTGGCTGTCAGAGTCCTCTGCTCTGACCATAAGCCACTGATAACTGTATACTTTGGGAATGAATTGTGCTATTCACCCAGTTTTGTGTAAGACCTGTTGTAGGTTTATATGCATTATTTTTCCAGGACACTTTTTAAAAAATCCAGTGGGGCTCTGACAAACTCTTCCCAAAATCTAGATATGACACCAACTATTGCTCTCCTACTGCTGCTGAGAAATCAAATGAGACTAGTTTAACATGCTTAATTTTTGTATAATCCATGCTGTATGTCACTCATCTCCTTTTTTATCTCCTAGGTGGTTGCAAATTATATGACTGATTGTTCAATTCTCTTGAAAGCTTCTACAAGTTGACTGGTCTATAATTCTTACTCCTCTTTTCTACCTCTATATTTAGAGAGAGGCACCATGTTTACATTTTTTTCCTGTCTTCTGGTGCCTCACCTGCCCTCCAAGAGCTCTCAAGGAGAAGTGTTTGTATTTCTGAGATGGCGCCTGTAAGAATGTACTAAGAATTTCCTTAAACATGGCTGACCT